TTCGCAAATATATATATATATATATATATCGATATGACGCGCGCGTGTGGTATTTTGTTTTTTTTATGTAAAAGAAAAAAAAGAGAGAGGATGAGAAAGAAAAGAAGAAGAAAAAGACAAAAATGTGTGTTAAATTATTTTTTTTTAATTATATGTGCAGAGACGTGGCATCAGACGGTACCTAATGTAATGTCCCCACGGGAGAGTCGCGCCGCTCGCGGAATCGGGTATTACGTAACGCTTGTCGTCGTGCGGACTTAGAGAGAGTTTTCTTTCCGACACGGTGTACACTTCGTGCAATCTAGATCTTATGCACGATTGACGGGCCGTGCGTTCCGTCGCGTCGCGCAAACATCGCGCATAATCGTCGAATGTGATTTGTCGCGCGACGTTGTATCTGTGCACCCCTTTTATAATTTTCGTGTCCTCTCGACCGTCCACCCGATAGGCGTACATTTCCGCTCGTAATCCGACGAATTCGCTCATGACCATGCCGCAATTTTGGTCTTTCATAAGACCGGGCACGCGCTTGTTCGCGTGCGGCATATCGTACGCATTGGCCGTCGGATAGTCGCTCGTGTCGAATCGCACTAGATTGCGCCGTATACACTCATACGGATTCGTCTTGTTTGTGACGATGTGATAAATCAGACAGTCGGTGTCGGTGTACAATAGACGACAGTACGACGAATCGTTATTAGTATTATTATCGTCGATGTGGCGATACAGCGGCAGCATGTAATCGTAGTGAAATTCGTATACGCACGTCTTCGAGATCTCGAGTATGCACATGCCCACGTATATCGGTTTCGTAAATTGTACGCGCAGTCGGCGCAACTCCACGGCCATTAGATCTTCGAAAAAGATACTCCGGCTGTGGAAATTCGGTTTCGCGATCAGCACCTCCGCGCCGTAACGTCCGTCCCAGCGCGTAACGAGACGCACGTCCAGGTGTTCGCGCACGTTTTCCATAGTTTTGCCGAACACCGCGTTGTTCATGAGCTTGTAGATATTATTCTCGAACGCGTTGGATGCGTCGATGCAAAAGCCTGTGTTGAGTTCGACGTAGCCGCGGAGCCACGGTGATTGCGCGAATCGCAAAACGCGGTGAATTCGCGTCAGGGAGAGCCCGTGCGCCACGCATTGCTGCAGACATCGATAGTGAATGACGTAGCGCGATTTATCGCGCAGTGTAGCCAGTAATTTTTTGTTGCTGCCGCAGCTACGCTTACCTGGCGGGCATTCGCGCTCCGGGCAAAACGGCAGATCTGCATGCGCGTCGTGCAGTTCGCGCGGATATGCGATATCGACCTCCAGGATATAACCGATCGCTGAATTCGGCGAAACAGACGTTACGTTGAGTCGCGCGATATCGGTATCGTCGAGCCAATGAAAGTCACCGTAAGGCAGGGGTTCGGACATTGCCCAGCCATACAGATTGTTCACATCGTAATACATTAGATACGATTCGTGAGACGCGTCCTCGCTGCTGCTGCTGCTGCTCGATCTATCCGGCATATATCGATTGTTGGCGCGCGTGTATCTGTTCGAGCATTGGTTAAGTCCGCCGCGTATACCGCGTTCTATGAACAGCACTATATCGATGTCGGTCAGTAATTCGAGTCACACATTGGTGTGTTTCAGCATGGCGTCACATGTGTAGCCCGGTACGGTGTAATAATGCGCCGGGTCTAAGCCGTAACTGTCGGCGCACACGTCGCGAAAATTCTCGAAGATATCGGTCAGCAGCATCACGTCCGTTTTCAAACACAGATCGCTGTACTCGCCGAGATTGGGCACGTCGAATCGTCTCCACACGGTCTCGGCGTGTTCGTAGTCGGCCTCGCTGACGATTTCGTCGCTCAACGAACTGTAGAAAGCGTCGCGTGACGGTAATTCGGTTTCCGTTAATCGCGCGGCACTGTCGATGTATTCGTACGAAAACACACCCTTGCGCGTGAGCAGCGCGAAATCACTCGCGGTCAGATGCGAGAACGTCAATCGCGTCGCGCGTAGTTTATCCTCGTCGAAAAACGAGGCCAGTTTATCAAGGCTCGTGCTGAGAAATCGGAACAAATCTACGAAACGTAGTTTCACTCGCTGTCTCCACTTGACGTGTGCGCACTTGATGTTTTTCGTGAAGGACAGATACCTTTCCTTGTTGATCGGCAGCAGATTGACGCTGCCCTCGAACGAGTTGGCTATTCGCTCGATTATGAAGTGTGCGTCATAACCCGATAGATTGTGAAAGAACAAGGGAATGATGTGCGAATTGCGATAATTGAGATTGCAGCGTGAGTGTGCGGGACCTCGGTAACGACCCGTTAAATGACAGTGATCGCGCACTCGGGTGTCGTCGTCCGATTCGAATGGTCCTCCGCATATGTGGCAGCGCGCGTCGACACTGGCGAAATCGCGTTCCTCCGTCGGGGTTAGTTTCTTCATAGTTTTTATGTTTGCGGACAGTAACGTGTACGCGCGCTTTGCAATGGCGCCGAGTTTGTCGACAAACCAAGAAACGCAGTCGTCTCCGCGACGAAAGTGATAACCGGAAGCGAGTTCGTCGTCGTCGTCGAGTGCACAGCACAAATAATAGCCCACGCTGAACGCTTTGTGATGTTGATACGCGTTAGAGCCGCTGTTGACAACGGGGACCTCTTTGTTGTTCTCTTTTTTTTCCAATATGCATTCCATATCCGCATAAATAACCAATGGCAGGCGTTCCTTTCTACCGTAATTGCGATGAGAGAGCCATTTGTTCTCGTTGTCTGGCAATATGATGACGCAATCGTTCATGA